ACAGAATCGGGAGAAGGGGGGGAAATACTTTCACAGACAAATACAGACACACCCCCGGCTGGAGCTCTCAGCCTTTTCAGGAGAAGGGGGCTTCTTAGACCAATTAACAACAAACTATGGTATACCAAAACATTTAGCGCTTTATACTGAGTCTCTAACTCATTACGGCCTGACAAAACATGGTTTCCTCCACTTTTGTATTTTGTGAATTCACAGAGTCGCGAGCAGAGCTTTTTATATTTTTAACCCCCTCGACTCAGATCGGGCTTATTAATCTCTTAATTACCGAACGGACCGGAACAGGCATGACCCTCCACCCTGTTTTTGTGCACTTGGCTCGCAAAGCAAATTTGTATTCCTCAGCCAATAAATCTCTGAACCTTAAGACAAATCATTAGGATCTTCTCAGGCAGAATTCAAGACTACGAGCAAATACAGTGATTCCTCCAGCATAACATGTCCTTACGGCTAGCAAAGATCATATTCCCTCAGTCAAACCCTTAGCTTCTCAGGCAGACTACGAGCAGAATACAGTGATCTCTCCAGTATAAACATAAAGCAAGACCAACAAACAAAACAAACAACCATCAAACAGATTTCAGCCATACCTATGCCCTAAATCCACTCCTCTGCTCTTTCCCCTTAACCAATACAACTTCAAAAGTAATTTCATTCCAAATACGTTTTGCTTACTGTGAGTCGGTATTTCTTCTGTGGAAGTCTCAAGTCTGGTTTCTCAATTCCTTGAGATTTTACCACAGCCGTCTCAGGGCTGCCTGGCCAAGGGAGTTGAGACCCCCAGAGAAGGAACACAGCAACCTCCAGCATTGGCAATCTCGGTAGGACCTCCAAAATGTTGTGGAGATATCCAGCATAACACAACAGGAAAGAATGAAACAGAGAGGAATCAATAAAACACAAACACAGATATAGCTGATAAGTAATTATTATTTAGTTGTTGCAACAAACAAACAATAATGGGAAGTACATCACCTGCTGCCACAGCAGCCAATCGTGGAAATGCTCCCCAGAACAGAAGAAACACAGGCCTAGATATACTTTTCTAAATGACACACGAACATGTTCCCCAAACATGTTTAACGCACGCACATTTTATCATGCAGCCAACCACACAAATGTCACATGTTTTTCTCTCTGAAAGCTATACCTGTATATGTTTAAACGTCATCATCTCATGACATCCTTAGGATTAGTTAACTAACAAAGGTTAACTGTTTTTATAACCCGAGGCCTTCTCTGAACTTCCTATACCCTCGGTGTCAGCTCACTTAAAATGAATACATCTATTGATAATTCAGAACGACCATTGTCTCTCTAACTGTGTGTGACCCAACTCAGTAACACACATCATATGGAATACCATGTGATCATTAATGAATATCAGAAATACGCTGTATTAAACATTCTGCCATAACATTGTTCTTGAGTAAAAGTAGAAGTACTCAGATCTTGTACTTGAGTAAAAGTAGAAGTACTCAGATCTTGTACTTGAGTAAAAGTAGAAGTACTCAGATCTTGTACTTGAGTAAAAGTAGAAGTACTCAGATCTTGTACTTGAGTAAAAGTAGAAGTACTCAGATCTGTACTTGAGTAAAAGTAGAAGTACTCAGATCTTGTACTTGAGTAAAAGTAGAAGTACTCAGATCTTGTTCTTGAGTAAAAGTAGAAGTACTCAGATCTTGTACTTGAGTAAAAGTAGAAGTACTCAGATCTTGTACTTGAGTAAAAGTAGAAGTACTCAGATCTTGTACTTGAGTAAAAGTAGAAGTATTCAGATCTTGTACTTGAGTAAAAGTAGAAGTACTCAGATCTGTACTTGAGTAAAAGTAGAAGTACTCAGATCTTGTACTTGAGTAAAAGTAGAAGTACTCAGGTCTTGTACTTGAGTAAAAGTAGAAGTACTCAGATCTTGTACTTGAGTAAAAGTACTCAGATCTTTTAGTAAAAGTAGAAGTACTCAGATCTTTTAGTAAAAGTAGAAGTACTCAGATCTTGTACTTGAGTAAAAGTAGAAGTACTCAAATCTTGTACTTGAGTAAAAGTAGAAGTACTCAAATCTTGTACTTGAGTAAAAGTAGAAGTACTCAGATCTTGTACTTGAGTAAAAGTAGAAGTACTCAGATCTTGTACTTGAGTAAAAGTAGAAGTACTCAGATCTTGTACTTGAGTAAAAGTAGAAGTACTCAGATCTTGTACTTGAGTAAAAGTAGAAGTACTCAGATCTTGTACTTGAGTAAAAGTAGAAGTACTCAGATCTGTACTTGAGTAAAAGTAGAAGTACTCAGATCTGTACTTGAGTAAAAGTAGAAGTATTCAGATCTTGTACTTGAGTAAAAGTAGAAGTACTCAGATCTGTACTTGAGTAAAAGTAGAAGTACTCAGATCTTGTACTTGAGTAAAAGTAGAAGTACTCAGGTCTTGTACTTAGTAAAAGTAGAAGTACTCAGATCTTGTACTTGAGTAAAAGTAGAAGTACTCAGATCTTGTACTTGAGTAAAAGTAGAAGTACTCAGATCTTGTACTTGAGTAAAAGTATAAGTACTCAGATCTGTACTTGAGTAAAAGTAGAAGTACTCAGATCTTGTACTTGAGTAAAAGTAGAAGTACTCAGATCTGTACTTGAGTAAAAGTAGAAGTACTCAGATCTTGTACTTGAGTAAAAGTAGAAGTACTCAGGTCTTGTACTTGAGTAAAAGTAGAAGTACTCAGATCTTGTACTTGAGTAAAAGTAGAAGTACTCAAATCTTGTACTTGAGTAAAAGTAGAAGTACTCAAATCTTGTACTTGAGTAAAAGCAGAAGTACTCAGATCTTGTACTTGAGTAAAAGTAGAAGTACTCAGATCTTGTACTAGAGTAAAAGTAAAAGTACTCAGATCTTGTACTTGAGTAAAAGTAGAAGTACTCAGATCTTGTACTTGAGTAAAAGTAGAAGTATTCAGATCTTGTACTTGAGTAAAAGTAGAAGTACTCAAATCTTATACTTGAGTAAAAGTAGAAGTACTCAAATCTTATACTTGAGTAAAAGCAGAAGTACTCAGATCTTGTACTTGAGTAAAAGTAGAAGTACTCAGATCTTGTACTAGAGTAAAAGTAAAAGTACTCAGATCTTGTACTAGAGTAAAAGTAAAAGTACTCAGATCTTGTACTTGAGTAAAAGTAGAAGTACTCAGGTCTTGTACTTGAGTAAAAGTAGAAGTACCAGAGAGTAGGAATACTCTGTTACAGTAAAAGTCCTACATTCAAAATGTTCCTCAAGTGAAAGTAGAAAAGTATTCTCATCAAAATATAGTGAAAGTAGCGACAGTGAAAGTAGTCATTGTGCAGATTGGTCCATTTCAGAATAATATATATGATATGTTTTATAATGATTGATCATGAAAGTGTTCTCAAAGCTGGCAGTGGCTCAGTCAGTAGGGGCTTGGACTGGGAGCCGTAGGGTCGCTGGTTCAAGTCCCCGACCAGACCTAAATATGGAGTGTGGACTTCTACTTGGAGAGGTCCCAGTTCACCTCCTGCCCTGCCGTGGTGCCCTTGAGCAAGGCACCGGACACCCCCCTTCCCCCCTCACTCCCATTGCTCCCCGGGCGCTGTATAATAGCTGCCCACTGCTCCTAGTACTAGACTCCTGGTGCTAGACTCCTGGTGCTAGGATGGGTTAAATGCAGAGGCCAAATTTCACTGTGTGTGCTGTGTGCTGTGTGCTCTGCATGTGTGACCATTAAAGAGGGTTTCATCCCTCCCAATTCTAATTCTAAAGGTGCAGCTAGTTTGAATGACTTTGTATACTGCAGGGTAGCTTGTGGATTTACTCCAGGTGGAACTAAAGTCTGATTTAACACTTGATTATATTTCACATCATTCATCCACATCTGTGAAGTAACTAAAGGGATTAAATACATGTAGTGGAGGAAAAGTACACCATGTACCTCTGAACTGTAGTGGAGTAGAAGTACACCATGTACCTCTGAACTGTAGAGGACATTAAGGTGTTATGTTTCAGAATATTATCTGTGTTGATCTTTGTTAGGGTTAGGGTTTCTTGGAATTTCTTGGAATTTGTGATACGAGAACACAGATATGAGAGTGTGCCGACACGCAGTACAATTGTAACTGATAGAAATCCTAGAGATTATGTTATTTTTTGGACTACAGCCTACATATTTCTACAGTATCAACACCATTTTCCCTCATCTACTGAACCTGTGCATTTTGTATTACTATTAGATCTGGCCCTCCGGTATATTGCACGCACACCTTCACTCAATCCTGAGGGTCTCCTCAGCTCAGAGCCTGACCCCAAACATTGATGACCTTGCACCCAAGATGAGATGCCAAGTGGCTGAACTAGTGACATGTAATGTAATGTTGTTTTTATAGGCAATAATTTAAGCTTTGTTAGTTCCAGGTTTAATATGTGCAATAAGTTCATTTCAATAAGTTTTGCAATAAACATTGAACCAGTCCGGCTAGTACCCATTTTTTTATTTTGGCCCACTGTGTATTTGAGTTTGCCACCCCTGCTGTAGATACTTCACTTCTCCTGCATTACCTGCATATTGGTCACTTGCAGCATCTCTTGCATTGTTGGAGGAGCCTGGGACTTAAGCCATAACTACACTGAAATCACTTCAATACATAACTGATAAAAAAATCGTAGAAATTATGTTATTTTTTGGACTGAAGCCACCATATTTCTACAGCATCAACAGCATGTTCCCTCCTCTCAAGAACTATGGCTGGCGTGTCTTTGGCTCTTCACCATCTCATTATTTCAGTGTTTGTTTACTTTTCGTCATGTGCTTTTTTGTATTTACCTGCACTATTGTATCTGTGTTATTGTGAGCCTGTGACCTCAGATTACCATTGACATAACTACACTGTAGCTATGTACACATGACAATAAAAGCCTTGAATCTTGAAATGAATCTCTCCTGAACCTGTGTTTGCAGTAATGTCTGTAAAGCATCAGATGTGTTACCTGCATCAGCAGCTGTTGGTAAATCTCTTCCTGCTGCTGGAGCTCCAGCTCTGAGCCGAGGAGAGACGAGTCTGTGTTCATCGCTACGGACAGAAAACAGTCAATTAATACACATTTTAAACATGAAATTCAGCACTACGTCCCTGAAATGAGAACCTAATAACTTTCTTAAACTTTACAATTATTCAACTGTGCAATACTCAGATAAATTAGGCTTACTAAAGTATTTCACTGTAGATGAAAAGCAGTAATCATCTCTTATCTTTACTTATACACCTCTCTACCACCTTTGCTAATCGTTGTCTTGGTTACTGAAGTCTTTCTAGATAACAGAAACATTAGCTTAGCTTCAGCATTAGCCTCTTAGCAGTGAAGCTAACATAAGTCTTCGCTCTGTGTCTTCTACATCAAATAACTTGACTTTCTGCTGTGTTTCCTGTGTGTTAACTGTGTCTCTCCTCTGTCTTTACACATGTTTAAATATATATATTTACCTTTTCTGGAGTATAACGTCTCGCTGGTGTTTCTCTGAACTGAAGGTTTGTTTATCCACGGGGCCCACAGCGCATGCGCAGTTGCGTTTTGTAAATAATAAAACCCGCCTCAGCTGCCACGTCACGTCCGCTCTCAACTAAACCGGAAAATAAACTTTATTTTATTTATTTCATTAGAACATTAATGAACACCAGATATGTTATATAAACACCACGGGTAGACATATAAAGTAATACAAAATTACATAGAATAAATAAAGAAAAAAATACAGTTCAATATTTCCGATTAAATATATCTGTTAAACTGGAACTGGAGTGCGGGTTTTATAGTTTTTAGCACCGAATCATTTTAAACAAAGCACAAACGAGTTTTCAGGCTGTGTCTGGGCTTGTTCTGAACACATAAATACTACTCAACATGTTCTATTTGACATGTATGTTAATGTTTATTTAGGATCCCCAGTAGCTTTTGCTCTTGACAAAAGCTACTCTTCCTGGGGTCTGACACTTAAAACAATACAACAATAATACAACATTCAAGACATAAGTCCTGACATCATCAACAATCTCATCCACTTTCAATATCAAACTCAGCCAAGGATGAGTGCACAAGACACCCACCGGTACAAATGGTATGGTCATTAGTAGATGGCCCTTCTCTTCTTGAAAGAGGCTCTGGACTCTGAAAGAGGCTCTGGACTCTACGTGGATCACTTCTCCTGCATCACCTGCACATTGGTCACTTGCAGCTATTTATTTTCTGCAGAGGACTACATACCGAGTCATCCCTTTCTTCAACAGGATAAACTCACCAAATGAACTCAACAAACACAGACTACCCGGGGAGAACATGATTTATTATTCTGTTTATTTCCAGAGCTCTATGTTTCTTTGTTTGGTGTATTCCTCTTTCCTCTTTCAGTTAGTTGAAAGACATTGGGTTTCACTGGGGTTAGTAAGATTGTTTTATACATTTGTGTCTGTTTAATAAATGCCGGCTAAATGTTAAAGCTCCCATGTCATGCTTTTCCGGTTATTACCCGTCCCCTTGTGTGATGAAGGTTGTTCTGCATGTGAGCGGTCTGCAGAGTCACAAACCCTCAAAGTGCACCCTGTAGCGAGTAAAACTCTAACACAGTAAAGACCTGTCCGTGCTGCCCCAGAACGCCTCGTTGGACATTTCTCTTTTTCCATTTTTTTCTTCCGGGAACCAAGTGATGTAACGACGACCCCTCCGTGGATTGGTCCAAATTGACCAATCCGCGGAGTTCCTCACACACACACACACACTCAATCTTTTCTCAGCTGCAGCTCCGGACACGGCGAGGCTGTGAGTTTGTGTGTGAGCACACACACAAACTCACAGCCAGGCTGCGGGTGTGTGTGTGTTCGGGATGGGTTTCGCTGTGTCTCGCTGTCTCGCAGACGGCCATTGGGCTCACAGGGAGGGGGGGGGCAGGAGCTCCAACAAGGCGTGTAGGACAGAGAGTGAATACACGTACTGTACAGAGATGCTGAATGAGAAACCAATGTGAGTTTGGAACATTGAACAATATAAATCTATTCTAGTAGACCTCAACAATGGAATTATGATCAGTAGAAATGACCTTTAAGCTTGTTATATAGACTTTTTTCCTTGACCTTTAAATAGAAAAAGGGTTCCTTCATTTGTATTCTCTTACTCCTCATTGAAAGAAACCTACTACTTGTGCATTATATTAAATCAGTATATTGTTTATTAAAGGGGACCTATCATGCAAAATGCACTTGTGTACGTCTTTTCTACATGAATATGTGTCCCCGGTGTTCCAGGAAACTCACCAAGTGTCAGAAAACACAACCCTCTCTATTTTCCTCCATACCCAAATCTCTAAAAAAGGGGCTGCAACGGATCTGATAAAAACTGATCCAGATTTGAACACTGTCCTGACGTCAGGACGGTGGCGCTACGGCTATTGGGCCAACTCCACCAATCAGGAGGAGACAGCCACGGCCATTGCCGTTCAAAAGTGCTGGAGACGCTGTAGTACATATGCCAGGCCTGTAGGGGGTGCTGTTCTCACTGAATCAACCCTTGCCAAAACAGGGGTAACATTTTTCAAATTGAGCGAAAATGAGGCATGGCTAAAATGCATGATCTGTTTGGTATTTTTTTTTTTTTAAAGTATAAATATGCCTTATATAGGTATGGTCCTACACTATATTATTCAAATATAGCATGATAGGTCCACTTTAAGTTACTGTTACATTTCTATTCTGTTTCTTATTGCGCTTTTTAAAATGGTGTTATTGTTTTATGTCTTATGTAGCATTGTTGGAGGAGCCTTGGATTTAGCTGACGATTCTTTGGATTAAGGCGTACCTATTTATTTATTTTTTACAAGTCTTTTTATTTCATTATAGTGTACAATAATCAATGCCATTTCATTTACATTGTAATATCACAGTACACTCACTACACTGCCCCCTCCCTCCCTCCCTCCCTCCACCCGCACATGCCCACACAGGCAAAACCAAAACATGCTTATCAAGATAACTTAAACGACAGAGCCATGAAAATAAACATAAAAAGGAAAAGGAATTAAGGCGTACCTATTTCTGGAGAATCAGATTAAAAAAATGGTTTAGACTTAGAATAAAAGATGTGTTTTATCCGTCTCTTTCCCATGTCTCGTGTCTCTTTGTCCTTATCAGCTGTCTGCTATGCAAGACAGAAATGCTCAAAGATATAAATAAATAAAAACATAACATACTTGAACTTCCATTAACTTTGAGAGTCTGCAGTTGGACAAATGTTTAGTCTGGAGGAGCAGCAGCCAGGCGTTTTGTCCCAGCATGCATCCTGTTAACCTGACCTCCATCCCATAATAAGAGAGGCGTTGTTTAGTCGTCTGACTCATTGATCCTTTATCAGAATGAGGACACATTTACAACTTCTACACACTCTTGAAAGCAGACCAACTTTAATATTAGAGTATGTTCAAACACCAAACACTTCACATAAAAACGTTCATACTGCAGATTTTAACATTATGTTTAAATTAAAACGGAAAGAAAATACACATTTCAAAGAGCTAAAATAAATTAATAAGACAGGAAAAAAATCTCTACTTTAAAGAGTCCTCTCCTGCTGATGTTCAGGTGTATATCAGTATGTAGTGTCTCTACTTTAAAGAGTCCTCTCCTGTTGATGTTCAGGTGTATATCAGTATGTAGTGTCTCTACTTTAAAGAGTCCTCTCCTGCTGATGTTCAGGTGTATATCAGTATGTAGTGTCTCTACTTTAAAGAGTCCTCTCCTGCTGATGTTCAGGTGTATATCAGTGTGTAGTGTCTCTACTTTAAAGAGTCCTCTCCTGCTGATGTTCAGGTGTATATCAGTATGTAGTGTCTCTACTTTAAAGAGTCCTATCCTGCTGATGTTCAGGTGTATATCAGTACGTAGTGTCTCTACTTTAAAGAGTCCTCTCCTGCTGATGTTCAGGTGTATATCAGTATGTAGTGTCTCTACTTTAAAGAGTCCTCTCCTGCTGATGTTCAGGTGTATATCAGTATGTAGTGTCTCTACTTTAAAGAGTCCTCTCCTGCTGATGTTCAGGTGTATATCAGTATGTAGTGTCTCTACTTTAAAGAGTCCTCTCCTGCTGATGCTCAGGTGTATATCAGTATGTAGTGTCTCTACTTTAAAGAGTCCTCTCCTGCTGATGTTCAGGTGTATATCAGTATGTAGTGTCTCTACTTTAAAGAGTCCTCTCCTGCTGATGTTCAGGTGTATATCAGTATGTAGTGTCTCTACTTTAAAGAGTCCTCTCCTGCTGATGTTCAGGTGTATATCAGTATGTAGTGTCTCTACTTTAAAGAGTCCTCTCCTGCTGATGTTCAGGTGTATATCAGTATGTAGTGTCTCTACTTTAAAGAGTCCTCTCCTGCTGATGTTCAGGTGTATATCAGTATGTAGTGTCTCTACTTTAAAGAGTCCTCTCATGCTGATGTTCAGGTGTATATCAGTATGTAGTGTCGTATACTTTAAAGAGTATCATGTTAATTTAAGTTAAACATTAATTCATCTGTCATTAGCCAGATATTTCTCCGGCCTGGTTGCCAGGAGTTGAGTGTCAGAGATTGTTGACAGAAGAAAGAGGAGTTTGGACTCTTGACTGTGAGAAGGAATGAGGAAATAAAAACTCTTGTTTACCCACCGGTGAGGTGCAGAGATGATTTATGATACTCTAATTGCTTTTTAAAAGGTGTTAGAACAATAGCAACATATCAGAAGGTAAAAAGTAGGGGAAAGGTGACAGACACACACAGACAGCTTTGTCTCTGACTTTGTATTGAGAGGAGGGTTAGTGTTCTGTTATTGTTATGGTTTCATGGTTTGTGCCCTTTGTGCCCTTTGTGCCCTTTGTGTATGAAACATGTGATATAAATAAAGTTTAATGGATTCATTAATCTATTTATTTCCATAATTTTTCGGCCAGGTGTTTTTTAACTATGCATGCGTGTGTTAGAGTAGTCTTCAGATTTGAACTGCTAATGGTAGTAATTTGACACGGCTAGAAATACAAGCCTTTTTCCCCATACTTTACTCTCCCTGCCATGACTCGGCATTTTATAATTTCCTCTCCGCTGGTCTGGATGTTTTTTATGAATGTGTTTTTGGTTATATTTGGAAATAAGATCGGTGGTTAACTCAAGCTGAAGAGATTATGTCAGTAAATACCCCACTGATGAATTTAAAAACGGCGGTTGCTAACAAATGTCTAAATGAGACGACTAAACGTCATCACGCCCAACATTAGCCGCCTTTAGCTTAGCGGTGGTGACGTGAAGTCATGTGACCGTACTGTAGTTCCTTTATAGCCCAACATTAGCCACCTTTAGCTGAACGGTGGTGACGTGAAGTCATGTGACCGTACTGCAGTTCCTTTATAGCCCAACATTAGCCACCTTTAGCTTAGCGGTGGTGACGTGAAGTCATGTGACCGTGCTGTAGTTCCTTTATAGCCCAACATTAGCCACCTTTAGCTGAACGGTGGTGACGTGAAGTCATGTGACCGTGCTGTAGTTCCTTTATAGCCCAACATTAGCCACCTTTAGCTGAACGGTG